CATTTATGAAAGAAATTGAGGGAGACACAAAAAAATTGAAAAACATTCCATGCTCATGGGATTGGAAGAGCACATGCTCATAGACTGTAAGAGCAAACATTGTTAAAATGTCTATACTACCCAAAGCAACCTACACATTTAATGTAATCCCTATCAAAATACCACAAACATTTTTTACAGAGCTAGAACAAACCTAAAATTTGTATGGAACCACAAAAGACCTTGAATAGCCAAAGCAATTGTGAAAAAGAGAAACAAAGCTGGAGGCATTACAATTCTGGCTTTCAGGCTATATTACCAAAGCTGTAATCATCAACACAGATCGTGTAATGGTCGTGGCACAAAAACAGACACACAGATCAATGGAACAGAAGAGAGAACCCAGAAGTCGACCCACAACTGTATGGTCACTTCATCTTCTACAAAGCAGAAAGAATACCCAATGGAAAAAAGTCTCTTCAATAAATGGTATTGGGGAAAGTAGCAACATACAGAAGTATGAAACTGCTGGGCCACTTTTTACACTGTACACAAAAATAAATTCAAAGTGTATGAAAGACCTTGATATGAAACAGGAAACCATCAAATTCTTCATGGATGAAAGACCTTGATGTGAGACAGGAAACCATCAAATTCTTCGAGGAGATCACAGGCGAAACCTCTGACCTCAGCCACAGCAACTTCTTACTTAGACACGTCATTACAGAGAAGGGAAAGAAACAAAAGCAAAAATGAACTATTGGGACTTCATCAAGATAAAAACCTTCTGCAGAGTGAAGGTAACAATCAACAAAACTAAAAAAAGCCTATAGAATGGGAGAAAATTATTTGCAAACAGCCTATTGGATAAAGGGTTAGTATCCAAAATCTACAAAAACCGTATCAAACTTAACACCCAAAAAACAAGTAACTGAGTTTAGAAATGGGCAGAAGACATGAATAGACACTTTTCCAAAGAAGACATCCAGATGGCTAACAGACATATGAAAAGATGCTCAACATCACTCACCATCAGGGAAATACAAATCAAAACCACCATGAGATACCACCTCACATCTGTCAGAGTGGCTAAAATTAACAACACAAGAAACAGGTATTGGTGAGAATGTGGAGAAAGAGGAATCCACTTGCATGTTGATGGGAATGCCAACTGGTACAGCCACTCTAGAGAACAATATGGAGGCAGTTCCTCATAAAGTTAAAAATGGAACTACCTCATGATCCAGCAATTGCACTACTAGGTATTTACCCAAAGGATACAAAACTACAGATCTGAAGGACGACATGCACACCAATGTTTACAGCAGCATTATCAACAATAGCCAAACTGGAGAGAGCACAAATGTCCATCAACTGATGAGTGGATAAAGATGTGTAGTGTGTGTGTGTGTATATATATATATATATATACACACACACAATGGAATATATATACAAAGGAATACTTCTCAGCTATCAAAAAAGAAAGAAAAAAAAACAAGGAATCTTGCCACTTGCAACAAGGTGGATGGGACTAGAATGTATTATGCTAAGTGAAATCAGAGAAAAATAAATGCCATATAATCTCACTCATATGTGGAATTTAAGAAAGAGATGAACATATGGGAAGGAAAAAGAGAGAGGGAAACAAGCCATAAGAGGCTCAACAATAGAGAAGAAACAGGGTTGATGGAGGGAAGTGGGTGAGGGATGGATTAGATGGGTGAGGAGTATTAAGGAGGTTACTTGTTATGATGAGCACTGGGTGTTATATGTTAGTAAAGAAGCACTGAATTCTACTTGAGAAACCAATATTGCACAGTATGTTAACTAAAAGTGTAAATTTAAAAATAATTTATTAATTTATTAAAATAGAAAGTCAACCTTATACTTTTTTTGGCTAATGGGCAATAAATAAAATGTTAATACACAACACAGTGTAGTAAATAGCTTCATCAGCATCTCATTCACAACTGAATTAGACATTTCTGTTGCTGCAGAAATAAAATCTTCTGGCTTAAAAAAAAAAAATTCTAGGTCTTGAAAGAATTCCAATAAGGAACACAGTATCTCAAGTCATTCTGGTCATTTCTCAAAAATACCTGGCAATTCTATTAGGTTTTGCATGTCGATTCTAACTTCCATGTAAAATAAATGCTATTTCAAACCTTTGCTATGACAGATGAATTTCCATAGACTTGTCTTTCCTCTAAATTCATCAGATGGTTGGTAACTTATTTCACAAATGAGGTAGGTAATTTTGGAGGTAGATGCTTTTAACCATGATAGTATTCCTGGACTCACATCCCATATTTATGCCATCTTTCCCATAACAGGTGAGGAATTATTGTTAATCTCAGCTAGATTGTTTTTTTTTTTTTTTTTTAAATCTCTAACGTTATGTTTGGGTCCTGTCATTTCCTGCCATATCATGAATTTTGTTATTACTTATAAACTAACAACTTTATCCTCCATTTGATCCATTCTCTTAGCACTTAAATGTTATGCTGTTATTTTCCAATATGAAATTTGAACTTAAAAAAAAGGAAAGAAAGCGTTACTGGGCTACTTTTATGTCTAGCTGCTGCCTTCTTGTCTCCTTTAATCCAGGGGGAAGGTGGGGTCCTTTCAGCATTTCTCCGCATCTCACACTAGCTCATCCCACTCTAGTCTTTTTTTGGGAGCGGGGTCACCATTAGCATGGGCATCATTCTTGCTGACATAAATTGACGGACAAGTCTCCTGAACATTCTATGTCCTGTACTGACAGGTCTGTGATGATAGGGCAGACTCAGGGAGGATGTCCTACGACTGTCCGACCCTCTAGAAAAATCAGCTGTCAAAATCATGGGATAAGGCCACGCCTATTACCTCGAAAAAATGTAGAAACTTGAGTAACACCTGCTTGGGTGGCTCAATTAAACGTCCGAGTCTTGATTTAGGCTTAGGTCATGATCTCCGGGTTGTGAGACTGAGCTCCAAGTCAGGCTCTGCATTCAGCAGAGTCTGCTTTAGATTCTCTCCTCTCCCTCTGCCCCTCCCTTCTCCCCCCACAAGTGCATGCATGTTCCCTCAAATAAATAGATCTTTAAAAACATGCATAAACTTTAAGTATACTTATCAGAGAGGGCTTGGCAATGAAGGAACCAACTGTTGAACTTTATAAACAAAGAGCATAAAAGGAAGCAAGAGGAAACTGACAATTCAAATTTTACAGATCAAGAAGATAATTAGTATAGGTTAAAAGAAGATTAGAAGATTAAGTAATGAAACAACGAAACATTGACAGAAATCAATTAAGTCTTGAAAGAAGAATCAAGAAATTTAAGGACACACAAAAAGCTGCTTTCTCAGGCAAGCTCAGTCCTGACAAGTCACTCCTGAGTGTGGAGATGACTTTCGGGGCTCGGAATCAACCTAACACTTTCCTGTACTGCAGCCACACACACAGGGAGGAATTCGCCACGTGGGGAGGGCAGTCCTCTGCTGTTCACTGACAGTGCGGACTCAGACATCCAACACCTACGTGAAAATCAACAGGTGGGTTTTTCTGCCTTTTGTTTCAGAATGCTCCCCTATTGTAGGCGAGCCCACGCATCTGGGGGTGCAGTGAGTGTATGAAGTGGACTGACCTCTGGAAGGGACCCCACGGTCTCTGCTGGGACCTGCTGAGCACAGAGTTGGAGCAAACACTTCACTCCTCCTGCCCCTCAAGCTGCTCAGACGAGCTGCCTCCCATTAGGGGAGCCCTAAGCCGCAGACAGCACTCTGACTCCCCCTCCAGGCTCCCTTCCCAGAGTCAGAGCGCCTCCTGCCTCCTGCCTCCTCCTCTTACTGGGGGATGCTTTTGTTCCGTGCTTGCTTTAAAACATCTGGATCCTTTCCCGTCAAGCTGCCTTGTGGCTCGCTGCCTTGTGGCTCCCTGCGTGTGTCGAGGTGGGCAGGCGAAGCCAGTAAAGGGAACAGCACCATCTTCGCAGAGATGGCTGGGCCTACAGGGGATCCCATGGCAGGGTTTGCCCTTCACATCCCTACCCCACAAACGACAGAGCGTGTGTCTCATACTCCTGAGCAAGAGCGCTTCTCATTCATGCTTTTTTTTTTTTAAATCACAATCTCAAATGTTTGATTCTTCTTTTCCAGAACATCCTATTAAACTATCAAAAAGAAAAACAAAACATGAGATTAATTAGTAGGACTGGAGAACATGAAAGAAGGTCAGCAGTGGAACCACCTGAGTAACTTCCTCAGTTATGAGCCGATGGGCTCGCTCTCCAGAGTCCCCCCGACACTCCAGCTCCCCCTCGGTCACTCGGGGGCGGGGCGGGGAGGGCAAAGGGAACGGAAACACACTGCACTGTCCGCTTAGGGCAGGAGGTCACGCAGGGGAGGAAGATGATGATGTGGACTAGCTGCTTACACTAAACTCCCGCTATTGATTTAAAGAGGAGTGAGTAGCAGCATCTTCACCGAGGCCGCACGGACGACAGTGGACCGCTGCTGCTGACAGGAGCACCGAAGGGGGTGTCCAGGACAACAGGCTGCAAAACCCCGGGGGCCTCATCGTCCGGATCGGACACAGAGCGTTTAAAAAAGGGAGTGGGGAGTTGGAAATTAAAAACAAAACTCCAAAAAAATAAATAAATGAATTTGGGGTCTATTTGGGGTCCCCCACCCCCCCACCCCGGCCCTGCGCATCCCTTTAGTCACTTTTCTTCCAGGGCTTCCTGCCCGGCTCACACACACCGTTCTGCTCGGTCCAGGCCCATGGGACCCCCGCCGCCACCCCCCCGTGCCGGGGTCTCCCTGGTCTCCCCCTGCCCCGAGGCCACACCCACACCCCCCCCGAAGATGCCCCTGCCCAGGAAGTGCACACTTTTCGGGGGCTCGTCAGGAACGCGAGCGTAGGCGGGCAGGCACAGCCGGCGGGACGGGGCGGAGCGGGGGTGTCACCGGGGCTCCCCGAGGAGGGGCGCGGAGGGAGGGGTCCCGGGGCGCGGCCGGCCTGGGAACCAGCTTACCGGAAGCAGACGCGGACCCAGGGCTGGGCGGGGCTCCCCGCGGGCGGGTCGGGCGGAGCTGGGGGGGCTGGAAGGCTCGCGAGGCCCCGCGCTCCGGGCGTGGAGGACACAACGCTGGGGGCATCCACGTGCGAGCTGCAGCCACAAGCGCTGAGCCTCCAGCGAGGACGCCCTTCCGTCCGGGAAATCTGCTTCCGGGTCGGCCGGAAACGGCGAGCTCGGGCTGGGCGGGGCCTGGGCTGAGAGGGCTGTGCTGCGCGTGCGCGTGCCTTCGCTACGCCCCCCCCCGGGGGCTCTTCCGGTCTGCGCCTACCTACTTCCGCTCGCAGAGCTCGGCCCCGCGCTTTAGCATCCGGGTGGGTGTGCGGGGTGACTTGCGGGTGCGGGGGGCGCGGGGACCTCGGTGCGGAGATGGGGGCGTCGGGATGCCTGCATCTCCCACGTGAAATGTTGGTGCCTTTTTCTGTGGGGCGAGTGTGGACTCCGAACTGGCCTGGGCGGCCCCGGCTGGGGCGGTGAGGACGGACTCCGCCGAGGCACAACATCTGCGGAAGATGGAGACATTCACGTGCCTTTGAGAAAGACGTGCCTGACATCGCCAGGTGCCCCGAGTTACTAAATTTCACGTTTTTCTCTATCTTTATTCGGGAGCCACCTGAACGAGCGTTTTTAGTTTTGAAAAAAAGTCAGATTTTTTTTGAATATTTTATTTATTCATTCATGACAGGCACAGAGAGAGAGAGAGAGAGAGAGGCAGGCTCCATGCAAGGAGCCCGACGTGGGACTCGATCCCGGGTCCCCAGGATCACGCCCTGGGCCCAAGGTGGTGCTAAACCGCTGAGCCACCCGGGCTGCCCGAAAAAGTCAGATTTTTTTTTTAATCTTCTGTTTTTGTTTTCTGTTTCCGAATGTTTTGTGTCAAGTGTGGGAGAATTCTTGGGTTTTCATTCCTTCCGTGTGTGTTCTCTGACAAGAACATTAAAAAGCACTGGATTTTCAAATTCCGGTCGCATCACGTATACCCTTAATAAATATTAACGGGGAATGTGTGAGTGGAAAAAAAAAATCTCCTTTTCTCTCTCCTTTGTAGATTCTCAAGTTACTGCCGGAGGAGACTCAGCAAGACTAAATCACAGCTATTCATGCTGCAGAACTTTTCTCAAAGATGAATCCAAAAGAAGTCGTCTTCTGGTTTTCCAATAACCTAACACAGATTTCTCCGACTTTCACATTTGCTTGTAAATATTAAATGTCGGGACCCATGGAGGTAAATTCTGGAAAGGGAATGTTCCCGTAGGCAGAGAGCAGTAAACGCTGTGCGGTTCTTGTGGAGGGAGTGGGGGGAGCCTTTCCCACAGGGCCTCCGGGTCTCTCAGTGCAGAGATCACTTAACCTGGGTGATCTCACCTCGCTTGTCTCCTATCTGTGGGGAGCTAGACACACATTAAGGAGGGCTGTATATGATTTGGGGTTAACGAATCCAGGTACCTGAACCTCTCTCCTCTCTCTTTAGGTAGAGGTAAGTGATACAGTCCTGGCAGTGTAAACCATCCAGCCTCCAACCCACCTTCTCCATCAAATCTTAAGCGTTTACACATCGCATGCTTAGGAGGCTGGAAGTCAACCGATGTGATAATGGGGTGCATGGAGGATGTGTATTGTTTGGAAGTTCTCTATGAAAAACTGAGCTCGTAAGATAAGATGGCGCTTTAGTAGACTAAGGTCTGCCCGCATCACTGAACCTCTATTTCCCTGACTGAGAATTAAGTCCAATGAAAGCTGAGGAGTGAAAAGAAAGCGTGCATTGGAGTATAATTTTTTTAATATTTTATTTATTTATTCATGGAAGACACACAGAGAGAGGCAGAGACACAGGTAGAGGGAGAAAAGCAGGCTCCATGCAGGGAGCCCGATGTGGGACTCGATCCTGGGTCTCCAGGATCATGCCCAGGGCCGAAGGCAGGAGCTAAACTGCTGAGCCACCCAGGGATCCCTAATTATTTCTATCTATGTTTTGTTGTTATTACAGTGAAAAGGTAAATACCTTTCCTAAGTCATTCCTTAGGAAAATGCCTTCACTGAAGAACGAGTTGCTTTTTCAGGAACTGATGCAGCCGTAAATAATCATATTGACTATAGGATGGCACTTGGAATAGGGTCACTCTTGATGGCCTGGTGGGTAGACGGCCCCTCTAGAGTGGAATGCATGTGTGTAAGAGAACCTGTGTCTCCATCATCCCTGGGGTGATGCCCTCCCACCTGGGGGGGTGGGGGGGTTCTCTGGTTCCTGTACATGTGACCATCAAGGGCCCTGAATATCCTGACATCTGAAGGAGCCTCCAGTTGAGAGCAGAGTTGTGCTGTGAGCCAAACCCGGGAGCTATTGGGGAATGAAGCAGTTTCTCTATTGGGTTTAGGAGGGTGGAATGAAGGAGCTTGAGCTTGGAGATTCTGATTCCCCTTCCTGGCGAGTTGACCACATGAGGGGGTAGAAAGTGTGAAGTTTGTAATTATGGTGTCCCCTGGTGTTGAGACTTTTTTTTAACCTTTTGTCCTGAGATTCTGCTGAGATCTTTGGAATGCTCAAACATCATTTATCTCATTTTTTTCGTGGTAAAAATAAGTTCTTGTGTGGATATGTATATTAATACTCTAAACATGCTATGTTGAAAGTGAAGAAAGCACAACCCAGAGGCACACAGACCATGTGTTTGTGATGAAAATGCACTCTCCAGCCATGTTCCAGGCCAGTCCTTCCAAATGGTCTTCCTGAGATCTGACAATGAATGGTGGAGCTCCGGGTTCATGACAGCTCCCTCATTCCAGCCTCCTGAGGAGCCAGCCCCTCATAGTCAGAGTCCTTATGTCTTAAAGCTTTCTGAGGAGCGCTGGGCTCTAAGCTGATGTAGATAATTGTGAGGAAGCTCCTGACTGAATGTTCACCCTCTCCAGCCTTTTCAGGAGGACAAGAGCAGTTCCTACATCCATGAATATATTTAGAAAAGTGTAGTGATTCTGGAGGGCCAAGGATGCCCTCTCTGGGCCATCCTGGCCAGCACAATGTGTTCCTGGTCCCTTGGGATGCCCCTGACAGCATGTGTACCAGCAGGGACAGTAGGTGTATATGTCAGAGGGGAGCCCTCAGTAATCATCTTTGCTATTCATTTAATGAAAGGTAGCAGATAACTTTTTTGTTAGTGGCATTTGGGGCAATTTTATAAGATACTAATACTGTGTAGCCTAGAACACAGGAAAAAATTCCTGATTCATTGATATCTCCATAAAAACCTCCATTATTAAGGCAGAGGATCTATTGATCTGTAATAATTTTCTAAAGCACAATTTACGTTCTTTCTAACCACAGAAGTCTATGAATTCAATACCATCTGCATATAGAACACAAACACTCCTCTTATTTCTGGATGCAAATAAACAGACTCGTCTCCAAATACAAAATCCCAAATCTAACCAAGGCCAGGCAAAATATACATATGCCTGCAGTCCCGGATGCACATACTTATCCCATATACCCTCCATTGAAACCACAGGTGTGTAGTAAACATGCTAAGAGCTATGTAGATGGCCCAGCCCATTGCTCCTTAAAAATGCTGCTGAACTTACTTTGACAACCTGCCAAAAATCTAACTTAAATTAACTCAATGCCAGTAGAAAACATGAAAACAAAACCCCTATCCGTCATATCATGGGAATATATTCCACACTGAAGTCTTCAAAGTCGCTGAACATGGGTCTCCTATTGCAAAAACAAACATCCCATGCCCATCATCACCTAACTTTCCAGACACCACAACTGGCAAGTCCTCAGACGCAGCAATAGACTCAGTCCTCTCCAGAAATCTTGCAATAAAAGCCTACAACCCAAAGCCCAGTGTACACAAATGCACCCTGAGTACAACGCCCCATGAACACACGCAGAAAGACAGCCCCCCCCCAAATGCCTAGCCTACTCCAGACCATGTCACAAAATATTTCCTGTATATGGGTTCACCCTGGAATGTTGTCTCGACTACCTACTGGCATGAGTGTACGCAAAAATAAATCTGTCTTCGTCATCCGTGAATGATATGTGTATGCATGTTCATGTGTCAACACTTTTACAGAGATTACTGGGATACATCCAGAGACCTCTTAACCCTTCTTATTATTCCTCTTGTTACCCCTGGCACTCTCCCAGACATGGGACTTTGCCAATGTGCATTTCCACCTGAGCAGGGATATCCCTGGTTGAATGGCTGAGCAGGTGGTTTTCCTGTTCAGGATTTCCTATTCTGTATTTTGACTAGCGAATCATGACAGCGTTGAAAAGCAGAGGGGATTCTAGTCTCCTGTGGATGGATTCAGGCTTTGGCCAGTACTTTTCTGGAGGAATTTCCCCTGGTCTAAGGGATATTCGTTTGGTATCTCTTTTTTCCACATGTTCCTCTGACTCAAGAACTTTGATGTAGGAATCTCTTTCAGGCAATGAAACCATTCCTTTCTCTCTGAATGGGCAGCAGTGTTCTTTACCTTCTTCCAGAAACTGCAGATTTTTCTAAGTTCATTTTTGAGCTCTCAGGGCCACCACTGTATGCATTTGTGTCATAGGACTGCATGAACCTCTGGAAATTTTCTAAGTACCTCAGGCATGCAGGCCTAGAGCTCAGCTGCAAGTCCCAGAGAGGGCTCTCTGCCAGTCTGAGCAAACTCAGAATTTTCTATGTCCTGTATGGTAGCCCCAGAACCGCAGGTGCTGGCCTGTTTGGCCCCCTGCTAGTGAGGTAGTACCAAGGATGATGCCTTCCAACAGGCTTTGGTGAACTCATGGTATGATGATACTGTTAACATAATGGGTTTCAGGGAAACTAAATGGCAGAAGGCTAGGCAGGAGGTGAGATCTGATGTAGAGCTGGGGGCTCCATGCCCCGTGTAGGCGGGGCTTCTGAGGCTGGAGGGGACAGCAGGGTTCTGGTCACTACTTCCTGGTTGGGAGCCCTGCCCAGCCATCCATGTGACAGAACTACTGAAAGCTTCTGAGTGCCTGTGGTAGGCAGGACCTGGACCAGTGTCTCTTACCAATGCTTGGTAGCCGTGTGTTCCAGAGTTGGCACACAGGGCCCCACTTTCACTGGTAGCCTCATGTGGCTTCTTTTCTTTTCCTCGCTACTGCCTTCCTTTG